AAACCAGGAGGTTAGGAAAATCAGCTTATTTCAGCGGTGTCTACAGAACTGATAGACGCGTGGAAACGCATCCAGTCTTGCTCAGAATACGAGGAGGAGCAAAGACAGTTTAAAAGTAGGTTGATTAAGAGCCTACGTAATGATCCTGAGCAGTGGTGGATAGAGAACGCAGAAGAGATGGAAAAGGTACCAGCGATAGGTGACGTTAGACGACTGTTCATACTTATCAAGGAAATGGGTAATAAAATCGGGCTATTCGTGAAGCTATCCCAACAGGTAGATTAACTGAAATCTTAGCTAAAATCTAGGAACTAAACGTAATCCTACCTAACTGGTCTCGATCGCTGATCGTCCCAGTCCGTGAGAAAGGACGAAAGTCCTCTTGCGACAATCACACAGGAATCACTTTATATAATATAGTGTCTAGAAGATTAGCCTCAATAATACTTCGACTTCTGACTAGATCTCATGAAGAACAAACCCAAGAAAACCAGGCTAGTTTCAGATCTGGACGTGGATGTATAGACCGAATATCTACACTTCGGCAGATTCTGGAACATAGATAAACCTATCGACGTCCAACTGTAGTTGTATTCGTTAAACTTAGGGCAGCGTTCGACTCTATCGATCGTGAGGTTTTATGGCAGTGTCTGTCATTCAAAAGTGTACCAAAGAATTACATTAACCTTATACAGGCTCTCTACTCGAAAACTTCTGGTCGAATAAGAGCGTCTGACGAACTGTTGTTGGAAGTAGTTACTCCAAGGGATGTTTGTCAGGGTTGTCCGCTTTCTCCATTTATATTTAACCTTGTCATAGACATTCTTTTGAAGATAACACTTTCATCGTCCGACTTTACGGGAGTCGATCTTCTACCAGGAGATTCACTTGATGATTTCAAATACGCAGATATGGTTCACTTAGGTGAAGACGCTGATGAATTTCAGTCTTCTGACCACCTTAAGTAACAATATGGTCATGCTTCGGATATGGTTTTCTCCCTTCAAATGCAAAAATTACTTTAGGATTGGCTTGCGTAATCGCCTGAACTAGTGATAGGAAGTGAAAAAACTGAATGCACCGACCGCCTCACTTATCATGGGAGTCTCATTGGTACTGATAGTGTGGCGTCTGAATTTTCGATTACATTTTGCCAACTTGTGGCGTGGACGATATATCCGTTTGCCAATCAAATAACGAGCTTACTGCTTAACAGTTCGCTTGATTTTACTTTATGGATGTGGGACATCGCCATTTAGAGTAGAGGATATTCATAGCTTACTGGCATTCGATCATAGGTATCTTTGAAGCATTGCTTGTGTTTTGGGACCACCTAGTAAGAATATCTGAGTTAGGAATAGAATACTAGACAAAGATGGTAAACCAGTTAATGAAATACTACATCTTCATTGACTGAGGTAGTTGGGATATATGTTACGTATGCCCAACCACCTCCTTTGACGGGCTAGTTTTTCTGATGCAGGAGCAGGCCGGAAGAAAGGTAGGGACGACCAGACAGATATATTGCATGTCCATGAAGTCACTGACAATTCGACTTAGCCATGTTATTGGGTATGGTCTACTTGGTTGGGGTCCACGTGATTATAGTCACCAATGGTTAGGGATCTTGAGTGAAATGACTCAAAACGGTTCGCAGTGGCGAAGGTGGGTCCATTCATTGTCTTCCCCCCAAATCCTGAGATCCTAAATTCCTTATAACTTTTGTTTTTAGTTCGCCAATTTATACGTTCTTTTCGAGTCCAACATTCAACGCTTAATCTTTCCCATTACGACTGATACTGTTACTACCTCTAATATTCTGGGATTTGGTCTGAAACTTTGTCCCTCTGTGTTAATGCGGTATGGCATCTTGAACCGATGTACATACGTACTGGCTCTATGTTGTGACTGGCTGAAGAGTAGCACACAATGGTTCACTACAGTGCGTGAGTCAGCGTACAAACCTTATTTTACAAAATCCAAGGCACACTAATCTCGTTTTTCTCAAAATACACCGGCCTCTGTTTATGATAACATGCATGATCCATCTGTTTTGAATTTTTAGAGCACCTCTGAATTACTTCAGAACTCAGACCCATCAGGTACATTATCATTTCATGTTTTTTTAGAATTTTATGGGCAGAGTATTTCGCTATATTTAGTTTATGGATTTTCTCAGTTTTGAAATATATATACATGACCGTATTTCTTAACAAGGTACACATAATTCGGTACTGAATTTAAAAATTCCATGTAATTAGTTCCCTTTATGAATTTAAAGCCAGAACAAATATAGATGCAGTGAATTTAAAGCTCGATTATAATGCATGCTCAAGTTGTTAGTTAAGGTCTCTCTTGTGAATAAAGCATTCGTAGTTGGGTTCGCCAATTCAAATTACTTTAAACAGAATGGGAGTTGTTATTTGACTACCTGTCGTGTTTAGAAAGTCACAAATTACTGATACCTTAACGTATGGTCTCAGATATACAAGATTAGATTACTTTTAAGAAGTCATCATGTATACATCCGGGCAGCTGTATTTCAATTACACCTCTGTTTTCTCAAAAATTGGTTGGAATTGAAGTTCAGTAAGTATTCTAAATGGATAGTGGAGAATATCGATATTACTAATTTGAATGTTAATTTTATATATTACAACTGTAATGTCTAATGTAACATTAAACGATTTTCTTTGCTCTCATTTAGTAAGATAATTAAATGCTAGCTTCCTTCTTAGGTGTTCATACAATTGTTTCTTCGATTAGTTTTTAATTGACAATTTTTGTCCGTGTTCAACGCAGACTACTTCTGTTTTTATCCTGTCGAATATATATATATATAATCTTGTAACACTAGTAGTTAGGGCATGGAACTGTAACTTGTACAGTTTTGGAGCCAATAATAAAATCGTTCCAATTATTGAACAAACGGTTTCTCCAGTAAGAATCCAAAAACTATATGGACATCTTACCAAATAATGTTGACTGTTTAGTCTGTAACTTTCTGAAACCTCTTCAAGTGCTGAAGCACTAGGTCACTTAAATGGATGAATTCAGATATACTGGAATTCGAAGGACGGATTAGCATAAATACAGTCCAGGGAAAACTAACCTGAACATCTCACCACTGAATACCAAACTTTAGAAACTCCAGTTTTATTCTTGCTGAACATATACTTACCAGTTATCATTATGAAATTTGATAGCGTACCGCCTGATCTACAAATAACTAAGTAGTCATCTGACATAAAAACAAGTTGAACTAGGTTAGTCGTTTTATATACATCATACATACGTACATCGAAATGTATAGAAACTATCAAGCCGAGAAGACCTGCTAGAATACAATAACCAACTTACTTCAAATTGTATGCTTTAACAAGGTCTATAGTTATACTGTAGAGTCCCCCTCATTTTCCAGATATGTCGTCACTGATGAAATTATCAAAAACAACGCTTACGCCGCACGAATGTACGTACCATTTACATAGGTTTGTATATTTTATAAAACGTCGGTGTTCGACAATATTTCGGTTTGATAAGTCACTGGCCATCGAATTAAGTATCCGTAAACAACTAATTATGGCATCAGAGTTCACTTGGTAATTTGGTGTCAGTCATATCATACTACCGATTACTACTCACGTTACATTGACCATTTAATTTATGCTCTTTTTTCTACGCATCTAAAAACTTGATTCTATTTCCCGACCGTGCTTAGTTTGTAATTTCTTCCCAAACCCCGATTTCTCGGCCAACTGATTAGGACTCAAACCACCTAGTATCTGGTTTACTAACCGGAACTATAATTTACATCGATACACAAATATTGCGTCTTAGTCACATGAATGATAGGTATCGACCAAACAATACTAGCTGCACAGATGGGCTTGTTTCAATTAAAGTCTAAATTAAGGAGAAACTAATTAACCTTATTCTAATGATGGATGAGTACGAAATTTGGCAGTCAAAATGAAATCACGTTAGCAGTTGGGTCGTGTAACTGTGAATAGAGTACTAAAGAGGACATTAGGAGAATCCTGTGACGGCCGGAGTTCCTTATTGACATTATCTACATATAGTTGTAAATACTTTCCTAGATTACCAAGATAAAGCTCATATCGTTTAGCTGTTACTGTTCCGTTGAGATTCATCATGTTTATTTTCCTTAACAGCAAATGTACATTCTAATTTAACCAATTTTATGTATATATATACGAATATTCGTCAATATTAGAACGAAAAGTATAGCAAAAATTAGGCGTCAAGTAAAAAGAAGTCATCATATGTGGAAATTATATTTGAAATAATCCCAGCGACTGAAATTTAAATAATTGAAACGTTTGATTTCGATGATTACCCTGAAGAAGTCCAGACAAGTTTGTTGAACGAAACATAATTATTTAAACTATTTGTACCTGAAGAGTAGCAATAAAAGCAAATTCCCTTAATCCCATAAATCTTTATGTTTGCTTATTCTGATTATATCTCATCATGAACCAAGTTTAACAATGTTAAAAAAATCTTTATGTGAAATTTAGTCAAAATTATGAGATTTAAAAGCATATCGCAGTATAACAAGGTAAGAATTCAAAAATACATAGTTTAACCACATTAATGAGTTATCTAGTACGATTAAATGAGGAAAATATGTTCGTGTTTTGATAAATCGTAAAATTTACTGGTAACTTTATACTGTGCATTAGAATATTCACTAATTAACTACAATATATAAAGCTTAATCATATTTTAATTCTCTGACTGAACATTACGATATAATTTGTTACTTTTAAAAGTAGCTTACAAACATATTGTGAAATCGACTTGAGAAACAAATTAATATATTTTACGGTAAATTAAATCCTATACAATTAAATTTTTATGCTTTTAAAATGGATTTTTGAAAATTAAAAATATTGGAAAATATTTTGAGTAATTCATCAAGAAAAACCAATGAGAAAATGAAGATCTATACAGACTTTATTTTGAAATGATAAAATTTAAAGTTTCTTGAATTTCAGCCTAAATTTCCCAGCAGTTGATCTCTGTAAGAAAAGACAAAGTAAGAAACATTCAATAGCATAAGTAATATAAACTATCTGAAATCAACTTGATCAGATAGTATATATAAAGTTAAATGCCTAGTTTGTAAGTAATATTACCAGTCTATGATTTGATCATTTCAAGTAGAATGAAACATTGGGTAATTTGTCAATATAATAAAATTAATCATCTATTTGTAATATCCCAGTAAGTAAAAACTTAAATTCCTAACGTTTCGTAACCAGTGCAAGTCAATTCTTTAGAGGGTAAAAAAAAGTATGTCAACTATATACATTGATATTAAGTGTTTCGCTCTCTGTTATTAAATTACGAAACACGAATATCGTAAAGTATTTCACTAATTATTACACAATCTATATACTAGCCAATCTAAGATTCAATATTACATAACTACCTAGATTTGAAGGAAGACATGACATAGAAACTTTACCAGATACAATGTGATTGATACTAGGAGGATCTATGACATTTTTCGCTCTATAACTAAGATCTTATGAACCCAAGATTAAAAATTCAACTAACTACTAAACTGTTATGACTGATGTGACTGCAGGTCTTGATAAGCAGCGTATTTATTGATCGATCGCAGTACAGTGACACGGAAAACACGTACGGACGGCCTAGAGTCTCTATTGGTCTCGCTTCCCTGTCTAGCCCAGTTAGTTGAGTCCAGAACACAAGTCACAACCTCTGAGATATGAATCACTATATTTCAAACATACTTTGTTTATATACTAGTCAAGCATACCACAGCGTACCATAAAAATAGTAAACAACAATTTACGCAATATGTAACGAATGAATAAATAATAGCCAATAGGGAATGTACATTTAAAGTCCAAGGACACCACTGGACTTAACATGATAATTATTGGTCTATTCCTGCGCATCCACAACACCTCCCTTTTTTTTTGAAGATCCGGAGTTGATATCCGGATTTTGAAATTTTCTGGGTTCATCCTCCCCCACGAAATAATGTTGGGTCCTCATATTCCCAAGTTAGAATTAATTTGACTTTATTTAACACATAATTGTCAGATTGAACAGGGGAGTCACTGAAAGTGATTAAATAGTGGGGAACAATGTCGCTTGATATGAGGTCACCAACGTTTGATTCTTCTGGAACATTGTCACGGGATTTGTTGAAAATCTCATTTGTAAACAGTTGATCACTGCGATAATCAACATCTATCAAAATTGTATTAGATTTCTGATCATCATTTAATGCATTTAACACATTTTCTGGTACAAAAAGATCTAGATAATAAGATTCGTCAGAATCTCCTGTTGTTGAATGATGAGGACCATTTGAAACAGCTGGATTCAGTGTACCGCACGATTTGTTCCCTGTTCCGTTGTGGGCGGGTACTGCAATTAATTTATGAGCATTTAATAAGAGATCCTCCTGTGAGCTGGGTACATCACTGTCTGTACACGTTTCAGGAACAGTGGGATTTGAACCCACGACAGGGAACGTTTCGGAATTTGACATTTCTGGACAACTGGGCGGACCATGAATAACTGTCTCGTTTACATCACTGGTCGTCCGGGATTCACAGAGGCTTTTATAAACAGCTTCATATGTTCTGCAGTTGTTTTCCAGCTCAGTCTGCAGATGAGAAATGAATTTACCAACTTCTGTTGCACCTCCGAAACATGGAACATTTACCAACAGTGTGCGTAAATTTTCTAAAAAATTTAACTGGCTATTTTTGAAGCACTGCTGTTGTTGCTCAAGTAGAAGCTGTAATCGATCGGAAAAGGTAGTCATTTTTTTTTCAGCACCTGCAATGAAAATTAACTGTAGGAATAATGACCAATGTTGCTCAAGGACGCTGGTGACAATCTGGATGCTGATTGGTCGAAACAATTAACCTGAATCTCGTCCAATTACAAGGTTCAAAATTTTTCTCCACCCCGTCGCCAATTGTTATGAATTTAAGTTGTGAGACTGCAGGATTTGATAAGCAGCGTATTTATTGATCGATCGCAGTACAGTGACACGGAAAACACGTACGGACGGCCTAGAGTCTCTATTGGTCTCGCTTCCCTGTCTAGCCCAGTTAGTTGAGTCCAGAACACAAGTCACAACCTCTGAGATATGAATCACTATATTTCAAACATACTTTGTTTATATACTAGTCAAGCATACCACAGCGTACCATAAAAATAGTAAACAACATTTACGCAATATGTAACGAATGAATAAATAATAGCCAATAGGGAATGTACATTTAAAGTCCAAGGACACCACTGGACTTAACATGATAATTATTGGTCCATTCCTGCGCATCCACAACATAAACAACGGCAATAAAAAGCATGCTTACCTTTGGATGAGGATTAGACTCTTGACAGATAACGTAACGTTGCTGAAGAGGAGCTATTCGTTCAACAGCTTCAGATTCACCATTACTTTCATGATCTCGAATTTGCACGAATTTGATAACTATGAGTGAGTAAACAAATTACATTTAAATATAGTTTGAAATGATACAAAAAATTTGTAGCTCAAATGGATGCTTTTGATATTGGTGTGATCTCTGAACTGAAAGCACGTAATACAGCCAATAATTTGAAACATATTGAACTAATATCATCATTATTTGTACTGATCGCTTACAAATATACACATTAGTTACTTCCAGATCATGTAACTACAATCATTAGCCTCAGTCAGTCAGTCAGTAACAACGTAGAACTTCGTACGTACGTACATCAGTTCGAGTTGCCACACCACATTAGCACAGAGATGCAGTTGTCGATTCAAATCCCGTAGTGGTAGAGGTAATAAGAGTATAAGCAGTAATCGGGAAGATTAGGGTTTGGAGATGTTATTTAAAGAGTATAATCCAGTGAAATAAATTTGGAAAGAGGAAAAAAGGGACATGAAGAATTCAGAAGATTAGAATTTGGGAGAACACAAAGAGTGGATGCACCTGCGCCATTGCAAACGATTTTGAGCCATGTCATTCAGGGTCTCTAACCATCGGTTGCTATCATCTCGCGGTCCCCAACCAGGTAGTCTACACCTACCAACATGACTCAGTTCACTTGTCAGTGACTTCATGGACTTGTGCCATGTTTTGGTTTGGCCGCCCCTAGCTTTCTTCCAACCTACTCCTATACCACTGAACATAGCACGTCGAGGCAGTCGGTCGTTGGGCATACGTAACACGTGTCCCAGCCATCTCAACTGATGAAGTTTCACTACTTCATCAATTGATTTGCCATCCTTACCTAGTACCCGTTTCCTAACAACTGTGTTACTTACTCGATGGTCCCATGATATACGAGCAATGTTTCGAAGACACCTATGATCAAATACTAGTAACCTACGGATATCCTCTACTCTTACCGGCCATGTTTCACTGCCATAAAGTAGGACGGAACGAACTGCTGCGCAGTAAACACGTCCTTTGGTTGATAGACGGATATCTCGCCTACGCCATAAATGACGCAAGTTGGCAAAAGCTAGTCGAGCCTTCTGTATCCGTGCTGAGATTTCGTCACACACTAAACCACAAGGGCTGATGAGACTTCCAAGATAAGTGAAGCGGTCGACACACTCAACTACTTCACTCCCTATCACTAGTTCGGGTGTCGATGTAACCCAATCCTGAAGCAACATTTTGCATTTCGAGGGAGAGAATCGCATCCCGAACATGCTTGCATTGTTGCTTAGAGTGGTCAGAAGACTCTGCATTTTGTCAGCGTCTTCACCAAATAAAACTATGTCATCAGCATATTCTAAGTCAACAAGTGAACCTCCCGGTAGAAGTTCAACCCCTGTAAATTTAGATGAGGAGAGTGTTATCTCTAAAAGTACGTCGACCACAAAGTTGAACAAGAATGGGGAGAGTGGACAGCCCTGACGAACACCACTTGAGGTAATCAATTCTGATGACAGTTCGCCATAAGCTCTCACTCGACCAGTTGTGTTCGAGTAGAGAGCCTTTATAAGGTTAATGTACTTCTTTGGTACTCCTTTCAGTGACAAACACTGCCATAGAACCTCACGATCAACAGAGTCGAATGCCGCCTTAAGGTCGAGAAATACTACCATTGTGGGGCGTCTGAATGTGTGTCTGTGTTCTAGAACCTGACGTAGTGTGAATATCTGATCTATACAACCACGTCCAGGTCGAAAACCGGCCTGGTTTTCTCTAATCTGCTCTTCACGAGCTTTGATTAGGCGTCGAAGTATTATTGAAGCTAATATTTTAGACACTATATTAGTCAAACTGATTCCTCTGTGATTGTCACAAGAGGACTTTTGTCCTTTCTTATAGACTGGCACAATCAGTGATTGAGACCAGTCAGATGGGATTACGTCCAGTTCCCAAATTCTACCTAAGACCTCAGTTAATCTCATTGCTAATACTGGACCACCATCCTTAAAAATCTCAGGAGTAAACCTGTCAGGGCCTGCTGCTCTCCCTCGTTTCAGATTTCCTATGGCTTTTTCAACTTCGTAAAGGGACGGAGGACCTACATTAACTTGCCATTCAGGTTGACTAGAGATCGTGGGAAACCGAAGTGTGGCTGAAGGCCAGTTGAACTGATCCCTAAAGTGTTCTGCCCATCGATCCAATCTCCTGGATTGAGAATGAATAATATGTCCATCTTTCTCTGAGATTGTTTCGCTAACGGTCGGGTTCCTAATTCCGGTTTCCTTAACGAGTCTGAACAATTGTCTGCTATTACCTATTGCCGCTGCCTTTTCCATCTCTCTTGCTTTCGCTACCCACCACTGTTCGCGATCATTGCGTAGACTTCTTGTCAGCTTGCGCTTAAGCTGACTCCGCTCTTCATTATGTTCAGAGCCAGGTGGAATGAGTTTCCGAGCATCTATCAGTGAGATAGATGCTGCTGAGATCCAGTGTTGCTCCCTAACCTTCTGGTTTACCTTACTAGCAGATATCACTGCTGTTTCCACAGCTTTTCGGATATCATTCCATGCTGCATCGGGGTGGGCATCACATACATGGCTGCCTAACTGTTTTCCTAGTTGTTCCTGAAATATACTCTTAGCTTGACTATCATTAAGTAGGGCCCTAAGAGGTTTCCTTGCAGCGTCTTTCCTACGTCCAGTAAGACGCAAGCAAATACGCGCTCGCACTAGAGCATGATCTGAATCTAGGCATGTGCTCCAGAATGAGCGACAGTCTTCTATCGAGCCCCTCCATCGGTGGCTGATAGCGATGTGATCTATTTGGGTCCAACGTTGGGACGAATTAGGGGGTCGCCATGTTAAAAGATGTTTTTCCTTATGCTTAGTATTTGCAAGGAACAGGCGGTTATCTGAGCATAGCTGCAACAGACGGTCGCCATTATCTGTTCTTTGAGCCACGACACCATAAGATCCACCTAGGTGTCTTTCCCTATCGCTTAGTTTACCTACTTGAGCATTAAAGTCACCGGCCACTATTACTACATCCGAGCGCTAGCTTTTCGGAGAAGGTCCGAAAGCTTTCTGTAAAACTCATCTTTTACATCATCTGAGCTGCAGTCAGTGGGAGAATAGGCAGAGACGACGAAGAGGCAACGACGAGTGTCCCTATCTTTCCGGATTCTTACTGTTCCGTTCAGTCGGACAGCGCACAAACGACTGTCTACTGGGATCCACTCTAAGAGAGCTAGTTCTGCCCTAGGACTCAATGCTATACCTACGCCGGCGAGGCCACGGGAAGCAGAATCAGGGCTTCCAGATACACGAAGCGTAAATCGAGTCGGTTCTTTATTTTGGCATGGTGAGGTCAAATGAATGACGCTACTCGGATCCTGTATGCGCGTTTCGGAGACGCAGCACACATCGATGGCGCGAGATTCTAAAGTTTTAGCTAAGGAAGCCTGCTGTCCTATTTGGCAAAGTGTTCGTACGTTAAAAGCTCCTACGTGTAGTTTAGAGCGTGGTTTCAGGAGACCAGGAATGGCGTTCCACGTACTCGAATCGTTTGCCCTAGCGGTGCGAGGTGATAAAGAGACGTGAGGAGGGTTAGTCATGGAGATAAGAGAGGTATTAGGAGGTGTAGGAAGGATTTGAATGTGACCACCTTGGTCTCTTGTGCTGTTACGGGTATGAGGGCTGATGTCACTTCCCGGCTGCCCACACCGTGGAAGGGTATTTCTTGAGGAACCTGAAAAGGAAATTGGATTAGTGTTGGTCTTGACGACCTGGGAGCGTGACCGCAGAGCCCAAGGGACAACTGCTTGAGGCCGGTCGCGCACGGCCTTTTTGTGGAAGGTTTTTGACGTGTTAGCTCCGTTCTTCAAAGGGCCTTACCGCCGGAGACGGAAATCCGTGAGGTAAGGTGAGGTGTGACATTTTTAGGGTCGACCTTTTCTAACCCCACCCCTCCTTGTGGGAAGGCAGCATCGCTGTCATGCTGGTTGTCCGAGGGAAACACCTTACTGCTGTCACACCTCTCTACAGTCAGCAGTACGACTTCGCCCTCAGACCTGAGGTTATAGGAAGCATATAGGAAGTCATCAATAAGCATTTCCAGTAGCAGATTTATCAAATAGTTTAGACTAAAATCAACTGATCAGTAGTTCAACATCAGTCCTGTATATTATGAATTGGGAACCTTGGGTAAAAACAATTTCCATACAGTGAATTATCAACAAGTAAAATCCACATATGTAAGAGAAGTGTCACTTCATTCATTTTCCTAGTGATCATCATCAATTAGCCAAATTATTGTTAAGCAATGAACAGAGCTTTATCAAGTTAATCCAATTGAGCTATACAATATGAAACTTATTTTCACTTTCTCTCCTATATATATATATATATATATATATATATATATATATCGAGTAAATTGGCTGTTAATGCCTAAAATCAAATGGAATTCAACTAATAGAGAATATTATCAGTACGTAGTCGTGGAGACTTGAATTTTATTGAGATCTCAATAAATAACGATAAGTTGACTACAAAAGAAAAATAAGACGATATGATGAAGTAGAATGAAATGAAATTATTACCTTTCGATGAACGTAACTGAGCTATTTCTTCATCAGATTCACACTTACTCTTTAAGCTACTACCAGCATGAATCATAGGTTCGTCTTCAGTCTCATCAGTGAATTTAAACTAGTTTTAATTAAATTTTTTGAAAAAGAAAATAATAAAAATTTAAATAATATACTAAACTATTACAATTTATATAACGATTCAGAAAAATACGTATAGCCGACTATGGTTATATTGTAGTGACTCACATTTATCACGAGAACACGACTGGTTTAATAAAAACAATTATTATTATAACCAACTGTACCAGTGTTTGTTTTAATGTGCTTTTGTTTAACTGTGCTAATTATAGCCATTTTGTGCTTCCATTACCTTCCATCATTGTTTCGCGGTTTTTGGTACTGTTCGCATGTACTCCTTTCGCCTGCTTCTAATTGTACCATTCCTTGGCACGATCTCGGTATTCGTTCGATACCACGAGATCGCCAACGAAATAAACCTGGTTAAGTTCTATTTTCGCCTTCTGATTTACTTGGCACGTGTTTCTTGGTAGCAGTGTTCATAGTTAACCTCAACTCGACGCCACGCTACAATATCTTTCTCTAATTTAGGTGTTCTTTAATTTTACTGTATGTTGTAAAATATTGATTAAAATTTTTTGACGGACGATTCGACAGATTAATTTACCGATCTATTCTGCAGAATAAAGAATAAAGGTTTAATATGATAGTTTATATGATTTGTATATAACTTTGACTAACTCATCGTTGGACCATAAATGGTCAAAATTAAACATTTGTTCGAAACGTATTTCTTAAAATAACCGTGATCAGTAGCAAAAAGTGTTTGGTAACATGGATGAGCATCGGTCACAGTGGTGCAGAGACATTTACTATTTTCCGCTAACTCTTTAAAATCTTTATTACTTCCCACTCGACCTATTCAATTCAGACTTTTATTCCAACTATTTTTTCCAGTGTTTAATTAGTAACTGCTTCGGTTTAGGCGCCCAGGCAAGATTGCAGTACTCACAGAAATCGAATGATTCGTGTGGCGCATCTATATATTTCCTGCCTCCTTGTACTAATGTTTATGGGTTTAAAGGAATAAATAAGTAGCTCACAGAAGTAATCTGGCTAACGACGGTACCATTTTATTATGTATAAGCAATATCCTGAGGTTAACAGATAAAACTGAAGGTTGATTATAGGCTGAAAAATTTAAGTAACCAGAAGGCAATATTATAGACAGTAATAATAATAAGCTATATATATATATATATTTACCTGATCAAAATCAGCACTGCAAACATGGGTCATCACTACTGAAGGACTGGTAGAAACCTTACAACCAATATTAATTTTTACATCCTTTTCTAAAGGCAACTGAGATGAAACCTTTAAAAATATATACATAAAAAGTAGATACAAATCTATTGCCCAGCGTTCTAATAAATTATAATATGAGAAACACTTAAAATAACGATAAGTTTGATTAAACTGTCATTTTATTTCGAGTGCATTAGGGTCTTTTTTTGAAAATTTTTAAGCATTAATTTTATGAATTTGATAGCTATGTATTTAGACACAATATGCGACATATTATCTCCAATTATTTCTTTTTAAAAATTCACGTATGTGTACATTACATAGTACACAGTTGAGAGGGTGGATGATTCGGTTGTACTGGCTCAATGGAGTTTTGTACTCTGTACAGGCTTCGGCGGCACATATACTAAAATTAGGACGATACAGAGAAGATTAGCATGGGCCCTGCGCAAGGATGACACGCAAAATCGTGACGTGTCCCATATTTTTTCCAGCTCAGAGAACAAAACTATAAAAATCATCTACCTGAGCTACAAATCTTTTCCACCATCACAATAAGTATTAATAGGTTTTTCTGAATATCAATTGGAGTTGGTTTATTAAATATGGAAAACTTTTTAAGTTTGTGACCAATGTATGTGAAATGTTACAACGCAGTAATTTTAAATGCTGGGTCCTACCCAGAATAAATGGCTTTAAAATTCCTTAAGATTATATCATTTAAAATCTATTAATTCCGTTTCATCTTGTTCGCCAGTTAGATATTAACACAGTTCTTTCGCGATGCTATATTGGCTTGAGCTGTTTGTCTATTGTAGAGATATCTCAAACGTACTAGTTAAAGTAAATAATTGTCCATCTAATTTTCAATAAACTTCTTATTTAAATATTCGCATCGAGACAGGAAATGTAAAGGGAAGTAATTTTTAAAAAATTTAATTCGATCTGATTCAGTAACCAGAAGTAGTTCTGTTTCCTAAGCCTGTAGCCAAATTTACTGTATGAAATCAAATGGTTATATTATCAAATCAAATTAGGTGAGGTTATACTCGAAACTAAAGTAGAGTGAATTCAAAATCAAATACTTTGTAACCACTGTTATTGAAAATAAATGTTTACACGATACACAACTTTCACAGAACAATGAATCACATCTTCATTCCAAACAATAGTTCTAATTTACTTAGAGCAATAACCCACCAATTATATAATTATGGCTAACGACAAGAATAGACAAACCTACGTGGTGTTGGCCTGGAATAATCGAGAGGTACTCATGCAACATACTCTTTACTTGACTAGTAAGTTATTTCACACTTCAAATCAATTGTTTGGCTGAATCATATGTTTGTTTTCGACTACGAACTATATTGTCCATCATTATTTCTATATTTCCAAGACAGATGATGCTTAATCCTAATAGTCATCAGTATTTTAACTGGAACTTTCATCGAGATTATTTTGTTACATTACAACTATTAGCTACGATTGTTTGCGAACCGACATAATTTGCCAAGTAAATTCATAACAATAATGTAAATCATTTAAATTTATGTACTCGGCTCTGAGTGACAGTAATTACATACGGATCAGTGACACGGGCTAGATAAACAAACTGTGGTACATGAAGTGCGGTTCGAACCGTTAATCATTTCGTCAAAACTTTAGTGTTTTAATCAATAAGTCACTGATTTACATTGTAAGATTAAGGTATTCCGATTCATGTAAGCAGTCAAAAAGTAAAATAAGTTATGCTTAATATGTAAAAAAATAATAAAACTACTACCGGTACTTACGCATCTTTTTGTTTGTTTACTGGTGGACATAGATATACGTTTCGAAGACAAACCCGATATGGTCTTTAATATGGTACTGGACGTCCTCTTACCATTTTTAACAGGATTTCCAAGGTTACCCTGGTAAGTAGGTGCTGAACTAACACTTCTCCGAAGTGTTTTTGAAACAGGCTCGTGAGTAGGAGATGATTTAATTTCACCAGAAATAATTGGGTGAGCAGAGACTTGAGAAATTGGATCAATATCTGGTTTGAGATCTACAGTTTTGATGCAAGTTGTCCTGTCAGATGGTATACCACTGGAACGACGAAGTTGCCGTGGAGCATTTACATCAATCGCCTCAGCTCCTGGGATCGAAGAAACCTCCTTCGTACAAAATGAGCACTGCCTAAATAATGTTCATAAAGAATTATATATTTTTTTAATTTTGAAAGTAAAGCAATGAAAATAGAAATACAATGAATCCTATCTAAATTAAAGACATCTTAAGAATGTATATTTTAAATTTTGAGAGATTTGAGTATTTTATCAACAGAGAAATAATACTGCACTGAACTACCATCCAAAAAGAAATCCCTAATTTGGAGAAATAAACCATCACTTTGCTATTTATTGATATCATACACTGGTTATCATTGAGTTTAATCCGTCTTAAAGGCCATAATACATAAAAATAAATTAACTAATAATTTGAAGTCCGGTTAAATTCATCTTACATTCTAAAATACATATTTGATACACATGAATAAAATTATAAGTATGTTCATGGTAATATTTGGATAATTCAATAAACTTTGTATGCAATAAAGGCAGTAAACTAGGTAAATGAGATAATGATGAAAATACTTTTGTTATGACTTGAAGTTGCGGTCGATTTTTACCCTGTGCTAATTTTGTTGTGTCCTTGACTGGAAAATTAGAGAGCAGCGTACTTACCGATCGATTAAAGTGACACGTAAACACGTACGGATGGCCTAGAGTCTCTATTGGTCTCGCTTCCCTGTCTAGCCCAGTCAGTTGAGTCCAGAACACAAGTCACAGCCTCGGAGATATGAATCATTATATTTCAAACATAATTTGTTCATATACCAATCAAGCATACCACATCGGACCATAAAATAGAAAACAACATTTTGTACAATATTCAACAAGTGAACAGATACCGACCAATAGGAAATGTCCATTTAAAGTCCAAGGACACCATTGGACTTAACATGATAATAATTGGTCTATTCCTCCGCATCCACAACAACTTTATATAGGAAATTAGAGGATACCAAACATAAATCAGCACTCAATATCTAGTAGCGAGAATAAAGTAACAGTTTAAACAAATGACTTTTAACCGCAGGGACAATTTCAAACCACGCCTCATCTAATCAACTTTATGGAATCAAGTAGTGTGTCTAATGCTTAGATTGCATCTTAAAAAGTACTTAAAGCCCCATATAGTTAAATAAACATGAGTAATGGTTTTTAACACCAAAACAATGATCAGCTGGCTAGGGAAATAGTGGCAAGGACAATAAATGTGAAGAAACAAAGTGTAAGGCACGTAATCATAATTTGTTGTAGTTAGAAGCGACGACAAATTGAAAAGCTTACAAAAAGATTTTTTTTAAAGAGAGATTAGGCTTACCAACCGTAAAGTTTACTACGTTTGGGCATGCGTAGCAATGGGGGATCAAGACATGCCAAATGAAATGCCTTCCCACATGTATCACAACTTGTAATTAAATGTTGATCCTGAAGTCCGTGACACATCATACACCTATAAAAATAACATATTACAAACCAACGGATGAGTTGCACAAAACGCTTATTTGTTTCGGAAAGATTTCAAAGAAAATTTGATAATTAATTACAATCACAAAACTGTCCAACCACTTTATGTATAGCTGCAAACATAACGTTGATTAACTTGAATTCGCACTGACTAAAGTAATATTGCATTATTGATACAAACAAAAAAACGCTGTGGTAGGTTGTTACTAACACAAACGATGTAACAACTATTAAAAATATTGAGAGGATTACTTAAAAAGCAACAATAAATCTAATGTACAGACATGAGAAATATTTGCCCTGTGCAGAACGATCATTGATGGATGTTTCGAAAAAATAATTTGATCATTTAAATCAATACAATAATATCCGGATGCCAAAAATCAGCTACAATTTTGATGAGTACGTAAATCGTTACGTGATTTACTACCGAATTGACAAAAGCACTGATCATTGCCATGCAGTTAGTTCAGTTAAGTTTCCTAAACCTGGTGAATCGTTTTTATCACTATGTTTCTCGTGAAATTATTTCTCTACAAAAATTATATATGATGTTTAATTTTTGTAAGTTTACAATATAGCATAATCTGAAAACAGTATCACCATACTGTAACCTGTAAGTTACAAAGAAGATAAACTGAACATACATGAAGGATCAGTTACCAATACGAAGAGAGGAAATCATCTAAAACAAAATACCGGAACGTCAGTGAATGGGGGACGGAAAACCTACACATATCAGCCTGTATTCCCTAACAAAGTGCTTTACATGAAGTTCTGTTGTAAAGTGTAAAAGTTATGGTGATTCTAGGTTAAATTTAGGCTTATGATGAATGAGTTGCGTGATCATCAGAATCTCAACCAATGAGACTTCTACATATTACCAGATTGACACAGCTTATCAGTGATTCATATTACTTAACCCCTATTTTATAGACATAGCTTAGTTTACATAAAAAAGTATGCGAAAATTTTTTTGAAACTAGCTAATTTGTAACAAATTAGACTTAAAAGTTATTGATGAATAAGAACTTTACAAACTTACTCTAATATCACATTCTCTGATTCATATGTGACAATACTTGAACACTTTTCAAGGTGTGAAGCCGCTGGAATGTCTAGTGGTTTGACATTTTGATCAACTGCCTCAGATTTTGAAGCTTTTCGCAACTTACACGGAGATGAACGGTTGCCTCTACGCTTTGAGGCGGCAATAACTGCTGAAGATCCGAATTTGGCGGTTTTATTGGAGTCCACTGGATTAGATAATGAGCTTAGGTCAAAACTAGCCGTCTCTGGAAGGCGGCGAGGCTCCGCTAAGATAGTTTCTAATTCCGACGAACATTTTAGTTCCTATTGACGTAAATAAAAACCAAGCACAATCACCAAAAAGAACATGTAAGTTGTTAGACCATGATTATGTTATAATACGATACATTCAACAACTTCGAAGTGCAAAGTACTTCTACAAGACTGGCAGGATCCTAATCCTGTACTCACCCTGGATGGTGAGCAGATAGACGTAGTCGAGAAGTTCGTGTATCTGGGTAGCTGCATAAGTGCTGGTGGGGGTGTGAGTGATGAGATCAACGCACGTATAGTGAAAGCCAGAGCGGCTTATGCCAATCTGGGCCATCTTTGGCGCCTTCGTGATGTCAGTCTGGCTGTAAAAGGTCGGATCTACAACGCGTCGGTGAGAGCAGTTCTGCTCTATGTTTGTGAAACTTGGCCTCTCCGAGTTGAGGATGTTAGACGACTCTCTGTGTTTGGTCATCGTTGTCTGAGAAGGATTGCTGACATTCAGTAGCAACACCATATTAGTAATGCAGAGGTTTGGCATCGTGTGTTCGGGCGCAGAGACGATAATCTAATTGGTGTCACCATCTTCAAACACCAACTTCGGTGGCTTGGACATGTTCTACGAATGTCATCCCAGAGAATTCCACTTCGTGCAGTATTTGCCGACGCTGGGACTGGTTGGGAAAAGCGGAGAGGTGGTCAGTTTATGTAATGGTGTCGTGGTATGAAAGAAATATATGTACGGCTGGTTTCTGTTGGTCTTTCATGACTCCCTGGCTGGGGTCCGAGAGATGGTGCGATACTATGACTAGAGACGTTATCAGATATGGCTCAGAATAGAAGCCAGTGGCGATCCTGTTGTAACCTTCTTTTACTTTCTCCATAAAAAGTGGTTGTATCTTCCTTAACTGAAAGATTTCTTCTGGTTGTACCATTCCGTTTCCCCCATTATTGTTATATTACACTACCTTACACTAATCTGGACGTTATTGTTCTTGTTTACGCTCCTTACCTTCTCTTTTTCTTCTCTCTCTCCCCATTCTCATTGTTTTGTGTAGCGCATATATATCTGGCGCCCTCTTGTACGAATATTTATGTGTTTAAATTAATAATAATAAATAAATAAATATCTTACAATAAGACAATATCATCCACCTACTCACGGTTGAAGAGTTTTTATCCAGACAACAGATCCACACCGATACTACCTACATCCATAAGGGCTGTTCCCGGAACGTCATCGATGGCAAAGTTGAAAAGGAATAGTGAGATTGGGCAAAACTGCCTAACCCCACGTGTTTATCGGAATTTTATTGTTACTAACTTGTTTACCCGGTACATATTTGTGTGCTTGGGTATAAACCACACTTTGTGAGGGCTGGTAAATACTATCCTGTTCCCCAAAACAAAGTAGAGCAGAGTCAAAACCTATGACTTGGTGACTAAAAGTCAAATCCCCAAACCGCTGAGTCCCCAGTTCACACTTCATATATAAATAGAATCAGATGAAAAAATTCATTTACAAGAAATTTTAGTAAGTGAAACTTAAAAGGATCAGAAGTGTAAACTAACCGGAATTAAACTACGGAGAGAGTTTACGATATGGATGAATTTCACACGCAAGTTTCCACGGCTACTGTTTAATTTTTCTAACTCCGTTGAAACCTAAAAAAGTTCAGAAGGCTATGACAAATTTCAATTTTGGTTTACTAAATTACGGATAACTACTGCAATATGGTACAAATCTTACCGAATTATAACTGTGTGAAGCACTAGCATCTGATATTTGTAGTTCACGCTGCGTATTTTGTAAAGTAGCAATAAGTTTTGAAACTTCGGTAATTTTCCTTTCACGCTCTAAACAAAAAGAGTCAATGTTGCAACGAAAGTCATGCGAAGTAAACAGATTATCAGACTATTGTGTACATACCGAAAATTTCTGGCATGAAGAACTCACCTAAGAAATAAGATACGAAATCTGGAGTGAAAACTGGATAACTAGGTGTTGGGCCTTTCGATGAATCTGCGTTAGACATATGATTTGATAGTTCAATGGGTAAATTAAGAGCTTTAGCCTTCAATACAAACATTCTCATTGCAACGGGGGAGGTTTCCAAAAACATTGGCGTTTTCACAAGTGGCACTGTAAATATAAATAAATAGGTTAGATGAGGGTGATCTTGAAATAAATCAGAATATATGCACTTGAAAACTTCAAGGTTCCTTTGTCAGGTTACAACAGTATTTCATCCAGAACAGTCTGAATTAAGTTACGGCTAAGAGTGGTCTGAGAACTCAGCATTTAATTAATGAGTTTTGGAGCCTAGTAGTTTGAATTCCGACCAGTCAGTTAGTCACACGAAATGTAGAACCACGTACATATGTACTTCGGTTCAAGATGACACACTCTATTGACATGGAGAGATTTTGTTAGATCAAATCCCAAATTAGCAGATGCAGGAACAATATTAGTTGTACTAGGGAAGATTAGACATCAAAGATACAAATCAAGATAAGTTAGTAAAACAAAGACAATCATGAGGAACTCAGGAGCTTGGCACCTAAGGGAAGACAAAGATTGGATGCACCACCGCCATTGCAACCAATTTTTAGCCACTTCATTTAGGATCTCTAGCGACTGGTTACGATAATCATACGGACCTCAAACAGACAGTCTACACATTCTAACTTAGCTCAGTCCAATCACCAATGACTTTGTCGACTGGTTTCATGTTTTGGTTAGGTTTCCCCTACATTTATTACAGCCTACTACCATATCAGACAACATAGCCCGTCGAAGTACGCAGTGGCTGGATATACGTAGCACATATCCTACCCACCTTAGTTGATGAAAACTTACTACTCCATCTATCTCACGTCTTTGTCCAGCACTCTATTCCTAACTCAGCTATTGCTTACTAGGTGGTCCCGGAACACACGAACAATGCTTTGTAGATACCCGTGTTCCAGTACTAGTAACCCTACCCGACCGTTGGTGCTACCTTGACGTGGTGGTCGAGCTTGCCTGTCGTGATGAACCAATCGAGCTATATTGGCTGGAAAAGTCGTTCCTTAAGGTCCTACCATGCCAGACAGGTCGGTTGAAGAACAGTAAGACTAAAAGTAACAAACCCAAGGCCCGAAGGCGAGGTCCTACTGCTGACTGTACAGAGGTGTGACGGCAGTAAGGTGTTTCCTTCAGAAAACTAGCATAACAGTGACGCTGCTTTCCCACAAGGAGGGGTGGGGTTATAAAAGGTCGACCCTAAAAATCCACACCTCCTCTTATCCCACGGATATCCGTCTCCGGTGGTAAGGTCTCGACAGGTAGTTGTCCCTTGAGCACTGCGGTCACGCTCTCAGATCACTGAGACCAACTCCAGCCCAACTTCCTTTTCAGCTACCTCCAGAAGGACCTTTCCATGGTGTGGGCAACCGGGAAGTGATAACTGCCCTCATACCTACAACAGCACTCAAGATCACTGTATTCATAATCAATCTCCCTCCTCAATTCCCATTATTACTCTTACATCGAGTTTCAACACTTGACTTCCTCTTTTGGCTTCCGCCTCAAATGTCACCATAGCCTACGATTCTAATGCACAAAACACTGTCCCTGATCTACTGAAACCTCGCTCTAAACTACACACTGAAGCCTTCAACGTACACACCCTGTTTCAAATCGTCCAGCAGGCCTCCTTGGCTAAGACTCTGGAATCTCGTACCATTGATGTATGCTGTCTTCGAAACACGCATACAGGATCCTAGTGTTCTGATTCACTTGACCTCACCCGACCAAAACAGAGAGCCGACAACATACACCACTCGTGTATCTGGCGACCCGACGGCTAGTTCCCGTAGGACTGGCAGGTGTAGGCATAGTACTAAGTACGAGGGCAGAACAAGCACTATTAGAGTGAATCCCCGTTAACAGTCGTCTATGTGCTGTTCGGCTAAACGGCTCCGTAAGAACTCGGAAGGATAGGTACACACGTCGTTGCCTTTTCATCTTTTCTGCCTACGCTCCCACTGACTGCAGCTCAGATGATGTGAAAGATGAATTTTACAGAAAGCCATCTGAACTTCTTCAGAAAGCTAAACGCTCAAAAATAGTACTCGTAACAGGAGACTTTAATGCCCAAGTAGGTAGCTTAAACCAAACAGAAAGGCATTTAGGTGGATATTTTAGTATTCCGGCACAGCGAACAGATAATGGTGATCGTCTGCTGCAACTGTGCTCAGACAATCGTTTATTTTTAGCAAACACAAATTTTAAGCATAAGGAGAGACATCGTCTAACATGGCGACCCCCTACACCAAACCAACGATGGACTCAAATAGACCATATTGCCATCAGTCATCGTTGGAGAGGGTCGGTAGAAGATTGTCGCTCATTCTGGAGTACCTGCTTGGACTCCGACCATGCCCTAATACGGGCACGCATCTGCTTGCGCCTCACTGGACGCAAAAAAGCCACATTAAAAAGACCCATTAGAACTGAGTTGAGTAACGAGAAAACCAAAAGTAGGTTCCAAGAACAACTGAGGTCACACTTAGGTAGTTCTGAAGACGAGGCTGACCCAGATGTTGCTTGGAAAGACATACAAGCAGCTGTGGAAACAGCAGTGACATCTATTAGCGACTTAAACCACAGAGTTACAAAGAACCAGTGGATTTCTTCAAAGTCTCTCACACTGATGGATTCTCGCAAACTCGTCCCATCAGGTTCCGAACATGATGAAGAGCGACAACAAATCAGATCTAGGTTAAGAAAAAGTCTAAGAAACGACCGTGAGCAGTGGTGGGCAATGAAAGCAAAAGAGATGGAAAAGGCGGCGACTATAGGGAACACAAGACAGCTCTACAGACTAATAAAAGAAACTGGAACTAATAAGTCAAGTGTAAGTGAGATTATTTCGGAAAAAGACGATACTCTCATTTGCTCCCAGTCCAGACGTTTAGAACGATGGGCGGAACATTTCAGAGAACAGTTCAACTGGCCTTCAGCTACTCTACAACTACCCTCCATTCCCAGACAGTGTGAATGGAACATTGAAGTAGGTCCCTGTTAGCGGGACATAGACCGGAGTAAAGCATGCTCATTCACGATTGCTTTGGTGCACGCTGATTGGCTAATTCTTATCCAATCAGCACTAGTCGATAGTTGGAGAATACTCTAGAATCTTCTCATGTAAAAAAACTATAAATATACTGACGTTTTCTCTATTGTGCTTCTGACTTGCTTCTTACTTCCATCTAACCCTGTTATTTGGAATATAATCTCTTTCCTGTTCAACTGTGTTCTGATTTGGGAACTTGTCGAGTGAATCGGTGTCCGAGAATACTAAGCTATAGGAATAGCTGGGTCATAACCGTAAGAAAGAGATTTATAACAGTCCCCCAACTCTTGCTGAAGTTCAAAAGGCTATAGTTAGTCTGAAACGATGAAGGGCAACTGGTCCAGATGGACTGGCTCCAGAGGTCTTTAAGAATGGTGGTCCAATTTTAGCGATTAGGTTGACTAATATTTTAGTTAAAATCTGGGAGCTGGACGTAATCCCATCTGATTGATCGCGATCACTGATTGTCCCAATATATAAGAAAAGGTCAAAATCATCCTGTGATAACTATAGAAGGATTAGTTGACTAATATAGCATCTAAAATACTAGCCTCAATAATTATCGGGCGCTTAACTAAAACTCGTGAACTGCAAACACGAGAATATCAGGCTGGCTTCAGACCTGGTTGTGGCCGCATCGACCACATATTTACCATTCGTCAGGTTTTAGAACACAAGCATGGTTATTGGCGTCCGACAATTTTTCTTGACTTAAAAGCAGCATTTGACTCTGTTGACCAAGAGGTTCTGTGGTATTGAAAGGTGTACCTCAGAAGTACATAAACTTTGTGAAGGCTGTTTACTCGAACACTACTAATCGAGTCAGAATTTATGGAGAATTGTCGTCCGATTTCGCAACCGCAAGTGGTGTCCATCAAGGCTGTTCACTATGTCCATTTTTGTTCAATTTCATCATAGACATATTGATGGAAATAACGCTCTCATCGAGTGAATTTTCTAGCATTGATCTCCTTCCAGGAGGTCTACTTATAGGCTTGGAATATGCAGATGACATAGTCCTGTTTGGTGAAGACGCTGACAAAATGCAGAGTCTTCTGGTAGCACTAAGCAACAATGCCAGGATGTTTGAAATGTGTTTTTGCACCTCTAAATGCAAATTGTTGCTTCAGGACTAACCTGCGTCGACACCTGAACTAAGGACAGGGAGTGAAGTAGTCGAATGCGTTGACAACTTCACTTATCTTGGAAGTCTGGTCAGCCTTAATGGGTTGCTGGCTGAAGAAATCTCAGCACGGATTCAGAAAACTCGTTTGGCCTTTACCAACTTACGTCACCTATGGCGAAGGCGAGATATCTGTCTATCAATTAAAGGACGAGTATACTGCGCGGCAGTTCGTTCTCTTCTACTTTACAGCTGCGAAACGTGGCCATTAAAAAAGGGTAGAAGACACTCATAAGTTAATAACATTTGATTACAGATATCTTAGAAATATTGCCAGCATTAGCGGGGATCACCGGGTAAGTAATATTGAGGGTAGATGCAGGATATTAGAGAATGACGGTAAGTCAGTTGATGAGGTTGTGAATCTTCATCGACTGAGATTGTTGGGTCAAGTGTTACGTATGCGTGAACACCGATTACCACGACGCTCAGAATCGATCACGATGGCGTAGTTGTATACACTCTTTGTCTTTCCTTAAGCCGTGAGATTAAAATTAGTTTATACCTTTCTTTCTACCAACCAATTCTTTCTTCCTGTACTATACTTTTATATGCAATCTTTCTTTTATATATTGCCACCATTGAAGTAACTACGTCTATGAATCCAGTGTTTATCTTGTTGTGCTAATAAGGTATGGCAACTTGGACCAATGAATAGTTGGTAGAAAGAAAGATATAAAGTAATTTTAATCTCACGGCTTAAGGGAAGACAAAGGGTGTATAGCTTAACGCCACAAACAGAAAGATAGGCCTTTGGGACCAACTGTCCCATAAAAGCTAGAAAAAATACTTGTTGAATAGTTTAAGGAGTAACTCGCTGGATATCCTATTAACGACACATTACGTTAAACAGAAAATGGTCTATTTTTAATTCATGTGTTGAGACTTCAGCAACTATCTAAATTGTGTCTGGAAAATAAAGCGAAACCGATTAGCAAATTGATACAAAAGACAATAGATAGTTCAGACACATACCATACGGTTTTTCACGATTCCGCAGAACGTCCTTGTAAAGCTTGTGGTAATGTTCAAGTTTACGCTGAATGCGAGGGTCCACCGTAGTTGCAGTCCTCAAACAAGAAATATTTGGCTTTTTTTCATCTAAACAATGTAAATCCAACTGTCTATTCGAGCGCCATTTCTTTAACCTAAGCATTGTTGTCAAGAAATTACGGCGACGGTGTCGGGCAACTGTTTTATCAGTATGTTGACGACAATGTGCGAAAAATGGGTCCGCTGAACTCTAAACGACAAAAATAAGACAATAATAACCCATGAAATAACATTTATGTAGCATAAAATATAAATCACTACACACTTTTAAAACCAACTTGATTGGGGGTCAATTTACCGATCACCTTGTTTCACATTACAGTGAAAAAATAACTACCAAAATGTTATCTGTTAGGGATGGTAATATAAATCAAATTGTTCCAAAAAAAAAACAAAGGCTTTAGGTTTTGTACTTCACTACTCAGTTGTAGAAGGATAATAGTTCCAGGGTTAAAGCAGTTTTGCGTGAGTTTAAAAGATAGTGTGAAGTCTAGTGCAGCAGAGAACAAAAATTGTACTATACAGAGGAATTATTATACTGTGAAGGAGAGGAATGGAAAAATATGCTCACTTTATTATGCCTGACATCTTAATACACATTTAAAACAGTCTATGTTAGCTTACAGACAAAAGATCTAATTGAATAGCGCTAGCTACTTAAATCTCATTACTTAGCACACCTGGACGTTTTGAAACATTCCAAAACAAAAATGGCACAAATTAACGTGGACCGAAAATTTCGGTTTATAGGATCAGTTCATAAAATAACCTAAGGCGTGTAGACTTACCTCTTCGACAGTGGGTTCCGACAACAAACCATGCTTTGAGCACTGTGAGCTAAATGAAGGTAAACAAGCTAGCTTACCAAGTTACATGAAAAAAAGTGCGGCACAAACCAGCATCACAGGATATGCAAACACCAGTCCAAGCAAAAAACCGATCTTCGCACAAGGAGCATTCGTGTAAAGACCATTGCCTTTGCGGCAACTCAGTAAGAGTTACCTAGGAATGACTGGTTAATCAATAGTACTCACATCCATCAAATTATCTGGGTCGTTGAACGCGACTCCTGGTGTATATAGTGCGCATAATAAGTGAACCCAGCGATTGTTATCTGTTTTTTTTAAACACGCCATCTAACACTGGACACAACTCACAAACCTAAAGGATATAAATTAACATAATCTAACTAACTGGGGAAGTGATCCCTGCAAGACATGGCTCACAGAACCAGGCATCTGTGCTTGAGGAGCTTGCACCACTGGACAAAAATATTGAGTCGACCAACTTATAACAGTCTGTTAAAATTATTATGATAAATACTGAATTACCCTCATGAACGACAATACCGCAACCATCGCATTCGATCAGCTCATCACGGGGATCAGTATTATCACCTAAACACAGCATACAAATCATGATATCAACGTCTTTATTTTCGCGTTAACATTAGCAGTCAAATCTTGGTCATTATCTGGCCCTGAAGTATTAAAGGGTATTTTAGAACATAATTCTGTCCAATAAGTTACCAGTACAAAACGACTCCGGTGCCCTGGTATATTTTCCATTTTCTACGGCATTAGGTGAATTCCTTCCATATTTAGACACCGCAACCCTACTTGTACCAGAAGCTTCAGAAACGTTGGACGAGCTAACTGAAGAATCGTCTGGACTAGAACCCTCTTCATCAGTACAACCTGAGTGAGTCTCCTCTAAAATAGCTTAGTCAAGATATAGATAAACAGACCATCATCATCTTCATCTCTTTCTTCACAAACGTACTCGCTATCGCTGTCATCGTCCAGTTCATCAAGCAAAGCTAAGTGCTCTGTATTTACAGGTTTTATCTGCCTCTTTGATGGATCACGACGAGCTGGAGAGTATCTAACTAAAAAGATGAATAACTACCTATTGCAGTGAATAGGGTGTCAGATGTCATTACAGGAACTGAATCAAAGGTCAATAATGATTTCTGTGTTCTTTGTGTTTTTTTTAAAGTAATCGGGATATACGTATAGAAAAACAGTGTTGACCTTAACCAAGAGCTTGGAATTGGAATTGCCTGTTTTTCGTCCCGGCGACCTTGATCGCTCTTCGAATTGTTCAAATGGTTGTGAACGGAATAGAAGCTTTCGCTGAACGGGCATCCGTGTCTAGTAGCAGTAGATCACTAGTACCTCCAGACAGGAACTTAGGTACATTAACGATAAAAGAGGAAAAAGAAAGTGATAAATAATAGCAAAATTTCATCCTTAGTCCTTAAGAATAGGTCAAGTTGCCTCTTAAAGGACTCCTAGGAAGTCGCTTGGACTAGCTCAGCTGGCAGCGAATTCCAGCTTTTGACAACTCTTAAGGAGTAGAAGTTGGGTCTGCAGTCCATCCTGTTGTGTTGGGTCTCCAGTTTATGGGTGCTGCCCCTCAGGTTTGTGTTGGAGCTAAATCTTTTTCAACTTGGAATACTTCCAGAGAGGAGTTTTCCAAGTTGTAACTGTAGTCTGCAACATGTCTCAGATGGACTACTTTGCACTTTGAAGTGTTAAAGGCAAATCCGTTGTCATCTGCTTAACTCTGAAATCGTGTCAGATCCTCCTGAAGTGCCAGTACATACTCTTGGTTGTGCATCGCTCTCCAAAGTTTCACATTATCAACAAAAAGTAATAAATTAGACGATACCTGTTGTGGAAGATTGTTTATATAAGTCAAGAAAAGAGGTCCTAGTACTAAACCCTGGGAGACCCCACTAGGACATTGTATATACTGAGAGGAAGCGAAGTTAACCCCGACCTTAAAATGTCGATTTTTTAGAGATGAAATGAGCCAATCAATTAGAGATGATTTGATACCTAATTGTTTGAACCTATTGATAAGACATATATGGTTGATCCTATCAAAAGCTTTTGAGAAGTCGAGGTAAACGACGTCAACCTTCCCCTTGCGATCAAGGATGGTTGTCCATCTGTCCAGTGCAATCAGCAGGTTGGTTATACAAGAATGACCCTTCTCGAAACCATGCTGTCGAGGTGAAAAGAAGCTTAAGGGTAATAAATATGCGCGTATACCATCGCAAATCAGAGACTACATAATTTTTGAAAGTACAGAGAGAACAGCCACAGGTCGATAGCTCGAAGGTTCACTGCGTCGATCTCCTTTGAAAATCGGTGTGATTTGAGCCAGCTTTCAGATTTCCGGTTGTATGCCTCTGTTTAGCGAGTGTGATAACAGCACGCTAAGCATCGTTGCCAGGATTGAAGCTGCTTCTCTCAGTATAGCAGAATGGACCATATCCGAGAAAGGAGAAGTGTCTTTTCTTAGGTGCTATAGTTTCTCGTACACCAAATCAGCGCTCAAGTTCACTTCAGAAAGTCCTGTGCGGTTGCAGATGAAGCTCTAATCAATATAGGTTATGTGGGTCGGTTGAAATGTCCGGGAGTCTTCAGTAATAAGAATAGTAGGTTGGTGATTCTCTGTTAATCCTGACAGATGGACTTCCAGCGAAGATCCAGTTTGTCCTTGAAAATATTCACTGATGGGTCTGATACCACTTGATCAGGTAAGGCGTTCCAGTCATTGACTACTCGATGAGAAAAACGGGACGCCACTTTAAGTTTATTAGATCGCGGTTTGTGAACAAGAACACTAGTGAGACAATCGATGTGTTTAATACAAAATACAGGACTTGTTAATAAAATCTAACAATCATAAAGTAAATGCTTAATTTGCAAAATGTCCACCAACTGTCTCAAAATGACTCAGACTTCATTGTTCTTGCATTTTCATACAAATTTCATCCTGTTTCCATCCTTTACTGTTCGATCCTGTTGTCTCTCTACTGCCAGACCTTCTGTTCACGACCAACATCCATAGTTCCGTCGACCCGCCGAGGCAACAACATCCGACATACATCCGGCACCTGAGATGCTTAACACCCATGCTGCACCGGCCTGCTGGGCCATATACATCCGATGTCTGCCCAGCAGCCGCACGTCCCACCGCTCCTCTCCGTCGACAGCACCTGTTACAGCCAACGCCGCCCCGCCAGAACACGCCATTCGGCACCACCCCTCCGTACCAGACTGCCCCAACTATCGCCTCAGCTCCAGGCCTGCAACAGCATCCGCAAAATAGAGCCGTTTCCTCCTTGGTTGGCAGCGACACCAAATGTGCTGGATGGAGCAAAAAGATAAGACACATTAACACCCAAATCATAATTAAGGATAAGAAATACCAGTATAAGGTCACGTCGTGTCCTACCATTCGACACTTGTATCATATGTTTCTGTCCACCTTTCAGAACAAGAAAACCTCTGTATTGAGCTATTTAAATGTCGATCTATGGCTAGTAGTGGGCGAGTTTGTACATTCCATCCTTTCGTGACTTGCCTGATCTTCTTTCCCTTTATAGTAATGCTTTGTTGAGTTACTCAGGAAGTACATCGACCAACCAAACCGATAAATTCTGGCAGATGATAACATAGCAGTAAATGAATCCCAAAATATGAATAGCTCTGCAAGTCTACGACACAATGTTGACATAATTAGTTTTCCTTGACACAATGATATGAAGGCGCTCGATCATGCATCCCACCAGATCACGAATGAAACAGCCGTGCTACGCATTCCTACTAACCAGCTTAGTTCAAACTCTCCACGATATATCGATAGCCTTTGAAATATATCTTAATTCTGACTTGTGATTTGACTGGGTTGATACACTTCCATTATGGAGGTGTTATGTGCAAAAGCATTGTCAAACTCTGGATACTTGTGGCATTTTCAGTTCTATATCAGAGGCTCTTGGCATGGGATGGATCCAAAAATGAATGATAAGTTTTTCCACTTTTCAGGCAAACCATGATGATAAGTAATGTTAGCATATACTAAGTCCACGCACTGAGTAATGTGATCCACAGAGATCGATGTAAATATATATTTGTTTTCCCTAAGTGAACGTTGAGTGCGAATTGAATACCACATGGAATTGATATTGTTAGCAAGCCATAAGGCTACCAAATCATACGCAACAGCGTTTGATGGCTGTGTTTCCACGCTGCAAGTGGTCTTACGTGACGAAGAACATACTATAAGCTTGCTTAAGATGATTCACGATTACCCGTGTACGAAAAGCTTTATGGTATCCTATCCATGATACAAGAGTTTGTTAAGTAAAGAAAATGTAAACTTAAGATGAAAACCACCACTGTTAGATCAGATAGTGGAAGTAGGTAATGTGAAAAACATAAAGTTCGAAATCGTCCTGAGTTAGTCGTCAGTGATTTATTCGCAAGCTTGTCTTGTTCGGTTCGACAACTCAATTGAAGCTCGGTTCTTCAACCTCATCGATGACTTGGGCTTATATGAAAATGTGAGGTCGGCAACTCGTTGGAGAAACAGTCAGACACCATCGCGCTTAGACTGTGTATTCACAAACGAAGAATTCCTAGTCGACAACCTCTCAATCCTGGCTCCTCTGGTAAAGAGCGATCATGCCGTCATAGCCTTCAGTTTTGTCATCAAAACTAAGCTAAGGTATCCCAACAATAATTTGCGTTGGAATTTTAAACGGCTGAATGTGCCAGCTCTACATGACTATTTACAACAGGTGGTTTGGGATGTTCACCCTCAACTCGATGCGAACGGCTATTGGGACTTCTTACTGCACACGCTCTTATGTGCTACAAACCATTCAGTTCCTCAAACGGTTCCCAAAAGCTGCAAGCCACCTACAGTAATCAAGAACCGTACCCTTCGCCTGCTAAGCCACAAAAGGCACTGTTGGACGGAATACAAACGAACTGATAACGACGGAGCGTATAGACAATATAAACATATCAGGAACATATGCACGAAGGCTATAAGAGAAGACAGGCTTCAGTACCAAAAAAAGCTTATGGACAAATTTGCCTCTAACCCTAGAAGCCTATTCCGTTATGCAGCCTCTCTTCGTCAAGCCAAAACAGGAGTTTCTCAACTGCTAGGTCTTAACGGCCCGACTAACAACGATGGCGACGCCGCTAACCTTCTGGCGGCACATTACTCTCAAACATTTCAACCGGCTGACATCAACTTTACTGACGACAGTTTCATCTGCAATTCCACAGGACTCTCCGAAGTGAACCTAAGCGCTGACTTGGTGTTCCGTAAATTGCAGCACTTAAGACTAGATACTTCTCCTGGCCCGGATATGGTTCATCCTGCCATACTGAGGGAGGCAGCCTCAATCCTGGCAACGCCGCTTAGCGTGATGTTTTCACACTCGCTAGGCCGAGGTAAACTACCGGAAAATTGGAAGTTGGCTCACATCACACCAATTTTCAAAGGAGGTCGACGCAATGAACCTTCAAGTTATCGGCCGGTGGCTCTTCTGTCATTACCTTCAAAACTCATGGAGTCCCTGATATGCAACGGTTTAAACGACTATCTACTGTCCTTAAATTTCTTCTCACCCCAACAGCATGGTTTCAAGAAGGGTTACTCTTGTATAACCAAACTGCCGACTGCAGTGGACAGATGGACAAGCATCCTCGATCGCAAGGGAAAGGTTGATATCATTTACCATGATTTCTCAAAAGCTTTTGATAAGGTTAACCATACATGTCTTATCAATAAGCTCAAACAACTAGGTATCAAACCACCTCTAATCAATTGGCTCACTTCATACCTAAAATATCGACACTTCAAGGTTAGGGTTAATTTCACTTTATCTCAGGCTATGGAATGTCCTAGTGGGGTCCCCCAGGGCTCAGTACTAGGACCTCTTCTCTTCTTGATCTACATAAATGATCTCCCTCGACAGGTAATGTCAGACTTATTACTTTTTGCCGCCGACGTGAAACTTTGGAGAGAGATACGCAACCAAGACGATATACAGGCACTTCAGGAGGATCTGACTCGACTTCAAAGTTGGGCAGACGATAACGGACTTACCTTTAACATTTCAAA